AAGTACCCACAGGTGCACCACGACATCTCCCCTATCCATTCAACCTGAATTAAGATACAGCAGCAAAGGACACAAAGTTTAATTCTACATGTAGTGTAACAAGGAAAAGGAGCACAATCCCAGTCAAATCAGCTCACCAAATTAATACAAAATGGAGGAGAACTGTGTTAAACCAGTGACATTTGAAAAACTGCTACTGGTCCATGGAGAATAAGAGCACATGGGGAGCAGTTTGGCTTAGCACACAGTGCACTAGCACAGGTTTTGAAAGACCTGGATTCCATGTCTGTCTGTCAAAGGTCCAGTGGGAGACTTTGGAAAAGTCACTTCACATTTCAACATCTCAACTCCCCCTTCCATGGAACAGGACTATGGATATGTATGTCCTTTGTAAAGTGCTTTGAGAACCACAGATAATATTCCAGAATTCTAATAAAGTAAGGTTTTAGCCCTTATGGTTAAGAGCATCTCCACATTAACAAAAAGCACCATTACCATCCTCCCCCTTCTAACCCTGCAAACAGATCTCCTCCTATCTGCTGCCCACAACATTCCATCACAGCAGTAGCATGGATCAATAGGAGAATTATTAATCACAGCAGAGGAAAGCATGTTGTTAGTCACAGAGCAGGCCCCTTCCCCAGGAGGCCTCCCCTTTCCCCAGCTACAAAATTGAAACTCAGAGCAGTTAAGAACTTTAAATACAGATGCGCTTTCCTTTGGGAATCAAGAGCCTATGGCATGAAATGGGATAGCATGCCTTCTCCCATCTAGTGTTTTGAAGAGGCAGAAGATACAGCCCTAAGCTTTATCGGATGTGAAGAAGCACAGAATATGAAGCATTCATAGATGGACAGCAAGAACCAGACTTCTCCAAGTGCGAGGCAATGAAGTAATGGTGGGCTTGAGCAGAGCCAGCATAACTGACCAGGCAGAGCACAGGCACAGGGTGGCAAATTGTAAGGGGCAGCAAAAGCAGCATGCATACACCTAGCATATGCTCAATGGGGGCCACCTCTGGAGTCTGAGCATGTACACTGAGAAGTGAGCAGGGCATATCAAATGCTGCCAAGCTGCTGCTCCACAGCTCTGTCTGGTGCCCGCCCTTGCCAGGTCCTAGGTACGTTACAAGGAATGGCGGCAAAATCTCATTTGCCTAGGGTGGCAAAAATCTTTGCACCACTCCTAGGGTCAAGAGGCCCAAGTTTTATACCATGTCTGGTTAGTGCCAATCATTAAAGATTTTTAAATTATGCCATATGAATCATTGACACTTCCTTACCAGGCTTCCATCAGATGCGCTTCCCTTTGATAACACAAATTTCCACACACTGAAATCCCACCAGCTTCTGGAGACTCGGACCAGACAAAAGCCAAAGAGTAACTGTAATTATGGGTAGGGTGGATAAAAATCAACGATTTAAAAAAAAATGGATTGTTTTTATTTAAATCAGATTTGTTATTTAATTGTATTTTTAAGTTTTTTAATTAAAAAAATAAACCTATATAAAGATACTTTTAATTCAAGATATGTTAAAGCTCAAAGAAATCCTCATGCAGTAGAGATTATAACTTCTAATTATATACTCTGTGAGAGAATATATTCATGTGACCTTTTTAGAAAAGATACATAAATAGGCCACAATAGGCCATGGACTATATTAGGGGCCCAGTCTTACAGGATTTCCAGAGGCTCCTCTATAGATTAGTAAAAATTAAAGAAAACCACTGTACCCAATGGGATTCAGTCCTCAGTCTACAAGATCCCATTAAGCATCTCTGTGATGCTTAGTTTCATTTCTCAAACTGACCAAACTTAGCCACATGCCCCCTCACTGGGGCCTCTACTGATTTATGTCTCCAGAGATAACATCCTTGTTAGCAGTATATGGAGATGAGAAATAACAGAGCTGATTACCTACACTCAGCCCTCTTCTCTCTCTACAAGTTTGTGTACGTGGTGGAGTCAAGCCCTTACCTCTCCCTAAAAGTGCAAAGTTTCAAGAAGTTAAATGAATAGAGAAAGGATTGTTAGGGGTGGAGTAGATCTGAGCAAGAAGGAGCAGTCTGGAGATAAATGCAAGGAGGGAGGGGCAGTAGAAACAAAAAAGTAACATTTTGAGCAGAATATTCCAGAAGTCTTGAGGAATAAGTTTCTGAGTATAGCCTCTCCATTGATTTCAGATCTAATGAGGGAATGGTATGGTAGAAGGGAAAACCTATTATGGCAGCAGACTTGCCAGGCTGTAAAACAGAGAAGAAATCAAAGATGAGAAGAAATCTAGAAAAAGAGTGAAGAAAGCACCAAGCTAACAACAACATACGGCTCAGCGCTCATTTGATGTCCTCCTAATGCAGCAAGGTAAAAACATCCCCCCTGTCCATATCTATGATTAATCTAGTGAACTGGAGATGGTTCACCTCCCAATGACCTTACAAGCACCTGCTTCAATTAGCTTTGGTAAATAAAATAACCAAATCATAATTTTCTGATGTAGCTGCAAAATGAATCTGAAAACAATCTCAAAATAAATCACTGTTTTAAAATGTATAGTGTACTTTTCAAAAATGAAAGCTATACCTATCTCAGAGTTGTGAGTAATATGTATTAAGGTTATATCAAACAACAAGAATGCACTTTTTGCAGAAAACGGTATTTAAATCGAGGCTCCCTGACCAGTTATTTAAATCGTGATTTAAATTGATTTAAATCAAATCTACCCTAATGATGGGCAGGGTTTTTTTGGAGTGACAATAGTTCTTTATATTGGTGCCAGAACTGCTATTACAGCACTGATACTACTGCAACACCTTAGCGCTGTTTCTACACCCTTGAGTTAAAATAATCAACTGTTGGGGGGGGGGGGCGTGGCCTAAAGTTATGGCTTGCTACAAATACCAGGTAGCTCCACAGGGCTCAAAACACATTTTGCAGTGGATACAAATGCCATTGCCAGTCTTTTGCAGATGGGGAAGCAGGTGCAAAGATGCAAAATGTTTTTCTGTGGAGCTGCACGAGAAGACGAGGAACTGAAGCCAGTGCGATCTGCTTGATTTCCTGCAAGGCTGCTTATACAAACAGAAGCATGTAGCATGTTATTGAACCTGTAAAAAAGCCTGCTGGGTTGGCTCCAGGGTGGGGGCTGCACTGGTGCACATGTACCCCCTCTTTGATTCTTGGGTGTAAAGGTTAACGCTAACTGCCTGGCAGTGGCTACAGCATTTCTAGTCAGGCAGTGTTGGGAAAGTCGCTTGGCTTCGTGACTTATCATCATCTACCTTAGGGGTGGACAATTTGGCAGATCCGGCTGATGAACGAATTCCATTTCCCAGCAGCCCATGCCTGTGTGGCTGGGGCCTGTTTCCATGAAGACCCCAGCAGCAGCTACACTGTGATAGTGCAAGGCCAGAGTTTCCATAGAAACCAACCCCAGCAACCCTGGTAGGGTTCACAACAGGGTGCAGAGCTGCTCTGGAGCCCAGCTGGGATCGTGCAGCGGTGACAGTGTGGCCCAAAGCCAGGCCAGAGCCGTGATCTGCAGCTTGCCTGATCTGGGCAGGGGCACACAGGCAGTGGATCATGGCTCTGGCCCAGCTCCTTGCAGTGGTGACAGTGTGGTCCAAAGCCAGTGCAGAGCCACGATCCACTGCCTGCACACTGCTGCCCGGAGCATGCAGGCTGCAGATTGCAGCTCTGCCCTGGCTCCAGACCATGCTGTCACCACTGCAAGATCCCAGCTGGGCTCCAGAGCAGCTCCCTGCCCTGCCAGCAGGAGTGACACTAGAGGCGGGCTATAGCCACCCCAAAATTTCCAGTAGCCTCCTATAGCGTCCTCTCCAAGCAGCACCACCACTGCTACCTGTCCTGCACAGGCAGTGGCAGCTGAGGTCCCCCCCACCCCCCCAAGAGTCTAGCACTGCTGCTGTCTGCCAGTGCTGCTGTTGGGGCTGGTCTCCACAAAAACCCGGGCCCCAGCAGCTGGGGTCTTCATGGAAACTGGCCCCAGCCACCAGGGCAGGGACTACTGGGAAATGAAGTCCACTGACTTGCCCACCCCGATTACCGGTTCCCTTCTGAACTCTTCATCCCGCAGGCATTTTTAATTGTCTTGATGTTGCACCAATCAATCTAGCCTTTCCTCTGCCATGCTGCTGTCTCTTCACTGCTCCTGGTCACAAGGCTTCTATTCCACAACCCTCCCTGAAGTTACCTTTTTTTTAATTTTCTTTTCGTTTCAGTCTTAAACTAAGGGCTCTGCTACATGTTCAAATTAAAGCCCCATCAAAACCACCTCTACACTCCTTACACATTTTCAAGCACTCACTCTAGATCGGGCCTGCTCTTTTTACAGCTGCATAGTCCTTTTAATCCCATGATTGTTACTTTGCAGTTGTGGCCAGTCTACACTTGGTGCACAATTAACCAGTTAATAATTACTGTGTGGCAGGGCTATATTTATTGCACAATAAATCGAGTAATTGTCCGATAAGTATTTCACACGTGTAGCGGGTCTACATTTATTGCTCGACTGACCAGTTTACAGTGAGATACACGGGCCCTGCTGCACAGTCAAACGGAAGCAGGATGGAAACCAGCTCCATGTTTCTAAGCCCGACCCCTGCAGTGGGGCCAGCTCTTTGTGGAGCTGGGATAATCATCACCCCATGCTGCGAGGACTGCACCGCAGGTATGCCCGGCTCCACCATCGACCCAGTACGCAACAGCCCCGCGGCGGAGCAGGGAGCTGAAGAACTCGGGCCTAGGCCCCTCGCCGGCGAGTAACGCTGCCAGGCTAGGGCTGGCGGGAGGGAAGGCGGCGGCGGAGCGGGGCCGGCCTAGCGGGAGCCCGGGGTAGACACGGAGGCCCGGCGGGATGGCATTAGTCCGGGACAGGAGCAGGGCCGGCGCACACGTCTGCAGCCCCAGGCAAGGGGCCGAGTGCCCAGGCACGGCCTACAACGGAGACCGGGGCCGAGCGGGGAGGCTGGGGCGCACTCACTGCTTCACGTTCTCGCCCAGCGCCTCGCTCAGGTTCTTTTTGGCCGCCTCCAGCTCGCTCACGTAGGTCGCCATTGCTGGCGCCAGCGACGGGACCCGAGCTCGCTCCCTCCCGCGCCGCGGCGCAGGCTCGACGGCGCGCGGCAACCGCGCGATCAGCCCCGGCCGCCTCTCCTGTGTCGCGGCTCCCGCCCGCGCCGCGGTTGCTTCCGGGATGGTGTAGGATCACGTGACACACCCCCCCCGCACTCGGGGCGGGGCTGAGCTCGAGTCCGCTTCTGCCTGGGGTCCTGCCCTGCTTGGCCCCGCCCCCGCCCCTCTGCAGCGCCAGTCGCGCCGCGCCCGCACTTTCACGTGGCAACTCTGTGCGCCGGTCGCTGCCGCAGCCGCAGCCGCAGCCTGAGCCATAGCCATGCCGGGTCTGCTGCTCGGGGACGAAGCCCCCAATTTCGAGGCGGACACCACATACGGCCGCATCCGCTTCCACGACTTCCTGGGGGACTCGTGAGTGACGGGAGGGGGCGGGACGGAGCGCTGGGCTGGGTTGGGCTGGGCTAGGCTGAGCTGGGCGCCTGCGACCCGGGGTGGGCTACGCTCCCGAGAGGCGAGGGACTGAGCCAAGCTGCCTGCCTCCTGCGCTGAGAGATGTATTTATGTACGTGTATCTATACACGTATCGGCGCGCGCGCACACGCACGTACACACACACACACGCATATTTGGGGTTTGGAATTGAATTGCTTTGGGACTGAAATACTTATACATATAGTATATAGAAGTGAGAGAAATATGTCTATATATGTATGTATGTATGTGTGTGTATAGATGTGTGTGCATGTATTTCTTATACCTTTATAAGTATAGCTATACATATGTAAGTATACTTATATATATGTTTATAAGTATATATATGTGTGTAAGTATATATATGTATTTCAGTCAGTTCAATTCCAATTAAAAAACTAAAATACTCATACACGTAATATAGTATACAGAAGTGATATATACATTATATATATATCTATATCCCTCTAGATAGAGAGATAGATACCCCCACATACATGTACTTCCATCCTCTGTATACTATATTATATGTATACGTATTTCAGTCTGAAGGCAATTAAATTCCAAACCCCAAATATCTCAGCTCTGTCTCCATGTCTGTCAATATCCCCCTCCTCTATTATAAACCAGGCTGGCATCCTACATGCCAGCCCCAGGCCTGGGAATTCAGATGCCCCCATTAAGCTTGATGGGAGCCAGGAGGGGAGTGTGCCGGGTCCTGTGGCATTTCCAGAGAAGCGGTGACTCAAGGCAGGGGCAGATCCAGGATTTGGAACAGGAGGGGGCAGATGGTGAGGTGCATCATCACATATAGAGGAACACATTTTTCTCCAGTTCAAAAAGAAACTAGGAGCTTTACACATACTTAAAGGTCTAGGGCTGTATTATTCTGATTAACATTGAACAAAAAACAAAGGTAACTTCATTGGAATGAGTTAAAAACCAATCGGCAGGGCTGTGAAATGGGGGCTTGCTTAGGAGGTTCAGCTAAAGCCTGTGTGGTGCAATTCTGCTGTCTGTCTTAACTGGTGGAACATCAAGACCAGTAAAGAGAAGAGAGGGGCATTAACATCTGTGGGATGAAGAGTTTAGAAGGGATCAGGTAGAAGTCACGTGACTCCTATGCTGCCTGAACAGAAATGCTGCTGCCACTGCCAGGCAGTTGGTTTTTGACTGTGGA